AAGATTGCCTCTCGCAAAGCATTTGGTCGAGGCCGAGGAGGTCGGGGACGAGGACGAGGCAGAGCCAGAGGCAAAGGCAGAGGCCGTGGAGTTCAGCCTCAATCCAGCGATCGTCCAGAACAGGTGTCAGCACCAGCGCCACCTCCAGCACCATCTGTTTCTGAGCCTGTGCCCTTAGCACTGCTTCCCGAAGTCGCTGAGGAACATGAGGAACATTCGCCGCACATGGAGCAACATGAGGAACATCAGTCCCCGGACATGGAGGAACATGAGGAACATGAGTCGCCGCACATGGAGCAACATGAGGAACATCAGTCGCCGCACATGGAGGAACATGAAGAACATCAGTCGCCGCACATGGAGGAACATGAGGAAAATCAGCCGCTGCACATGGAGCTGGATGAGGAAGAAGTGTCTGATGCTGCAGCTGGGCCTGCTGCAGGTCCTGCTCCGTTAGCAGAGGCTGTAGCAGAGCCTGCAGCAGGACCTCCAGCAGAACCTGCTGCAGCTGAAGCAGGGAGGAGGCGTCATGTGGTACTTGTGTCGCCAAGAGAGCACTTCACACCTGCAATCCTTCAGAGATTGGCACCTCCAGGAATGTCATTTGGCTTGGACCAAAAGGCCCACCGCTTCACCATAAAGTTTAAGATCAAGCCTCGAGAGGGACAAGTGTGGGCTGCTTATGGACCAGGTGGATCTCGCTCCAAGGCGTTTCAACATATGTCCTGGGAAGAGGCACTGAAGCAGTTGCATCAGGAAGCCTGGGAGCGCTGGGATTTGGCAAAACATTTGCCTGGCTTTGAACTCGATGATCCGAATCAAGCGCAGCAGCCTGGACATGTCTCAGACAGCATGCTTGCTGTGATAAGAGAGGTCATTGCACAGATGCCTCCTCCTACTAAGTATCCTAAGCGTCCTTGAACAAGTGTGTTGCAATGGCTTGCACATGTATGCTGCTGCGCTTAAAAAATGCCTCAAGTTTGAATGAATGAATGCACAAGACTTTGAGTGAATTTGTCTTGTCTTGGGCTTGTTTTAAGATTGAGTTTCATGCCCGCAGCTTTTTATGTGAATATGTCAAACTGTTTCAAACAACTATGTAGTTGCATTCATGTTGAAAACACCATGTTATATCAAATCATAGCATAATTTTCGAAATTCCACTGGATACTGGTCACTGATCACTGACTATTATCTTGAGTATAAATTTCACTCCTCCTCTGAAGTGGCCATGGGGAAATCAATTGCAGTTGCAGAAAGGCGCCAGCAGCAGCAGCGGACTATGATGTGGCCCTTTCTTCCATTTCTCTGCTTTGCACCTCCGAAGAACAAGTGTCAGAAGAAGAACAAGTGTCAGCAAAACAAAGAGGTGGACGAAGCTGCTACCAAGAAATATGTCCATGATGATGCTGGCTCTTCTGGCACTGGCACTGAGGCATCAGGTGTCACTGAAATGCATGAGGCAACAAGTGTCAATGCAGCAGCTACAGCTGCCACTGATTTGCCAATTGACCCATTTGTGGACAAATGTGCTAAAGCTCTTGCATTTGGCTATGAGGATGCCTGGCCCTACTCTTCCTTCAACAGGCCAGGGTTGATAATCATGTTGTTGAATAATAACAAACGTAACAAAGAAACTTAGTAGTGTCTTAGTTTCTTAGTAGTACTTAGTAGTGTCTTCAAAACTATCCTGGCTGCCCACCCTGACTGCTGCAGGTGTGCACAAATGTCGTCGTTCCTGATGGAGACCTTTTCTCGGTTCTTGGCACATGATCTTCATGTGTCTGGCGGGAATGCGATCAAGATGTGGCCACCTCTCCTGGACTCACTGTACCCATGTCTGCGACCAGTTACAGACCTTGCGATGAAGCTGTCACTCCTGTGCCAGCGTGCTTTTGCCAACAGGCTCCAGTGTTCACATCATCTCCACCACTTTGTTGAGTACTGGTGTGGCGCAGCCAACTTGACCAAGGAGATGATCAAAGCAGGCTTTGAAGGAGCTGGGTTCGACATCATCCATTCACATATGCACAGTTGTCTCGACACATGTGGCCTTCGTCTCTGGATGGATATGCTCATGAGCATATGTGAACATGGTCTTTGTTGGCTTGGACCACCTTGTTCTTCATTTGTCATATTATGTCTGGCGCAAAGCCAAAGGTATGGCTGGAACCAGTGGTGGGGAGACACCACAAGGACATTTGTCAGGACTGGCAATAGCCACATGCAGGTAGCAGCCATGATGTTCCTTGTGTCGTGTGTCATTGGCATCATGGTCTGCTTGGAGCAGCCGGACAACTCGTGTTTGCACAAGTGTCTTCCTATGAGGTCAGTGTTGTCATTTGTGAAGGCTCATCGTGTGAAGACTTATCTTGGAGCATTTGCTGGCCCCACTCAGAAGCCGCTGCAGATATGGACAAACAGAGTGTGCTTCAATCAACTGTCCAGAGATTGTCCAGCCAGGGAACAATTGTCAGGTGAGCAACTGGTGACTCGAAGTGAAGATGGCCGAAGTTTCACCGGGAGGAAGGACCTGCTAGAGGAGTCAGGTAGCTACACTCCACAATTTGGGTCAAGTGTTGCCCAGACTTTTGCATCGGAGTTTCTGCGGCTGCGTCATGTGTGAGTGACTTTTGTCTCACACTTGTGCCAGCTGCCTGCATGCAGTGTGTTGCACTACATGGAGAACTTCTGTCTCCCCAATCTTTGGCAACCACTGCAAATTAGATTTTCAACACATGTCAAGCATCATGTGTTTGATCTCATCATAGGGTTCTTGGGTAAAAACAGTTGTCCTTGCAGGCGAAACTCAGGAATTTGTTTGATACTTGTGTTTGTAAATGCTACGAGAATATGCAAAATCTTAGATAACATAATTCCAACTCCACTTGCTTCACCTGAGGTTGGATGGCAATGTTTCGAGGCCAGGGTATACAGACACATGTTCACTTGTGCTTACTTGTGACAATTGACACAAAACTTTGACATATGTCCTCTCTTTTGCTCTTGCCAGGAGGAAAGCATATCAATAAAATATAATAAAATTATATAAACATATAAACATTAAAAGAAAAATATATCATGTATTATTGAATTAACTATAATTTCTGGAGTTTTGTTTTACGTAAACCATCGTTTGGAATGCGTTGTCCTTTGCGATATGCAAAACGTGAAGAGAGAAAAAAACATGTTTTTTTTCTGACAAAGTTTGTGGTACTCCATTGTGTTCCACCGTGATACCACCGTGATACTTGGCGTGCAATCTTTAAGAAAAATTAGGAAAAAAAAGGAAACACATGGAAAACCCAGGAAAACAAAAGGCAACAGCGTTGCAGTATCAACTCTATTTTTGTTTTATTTCTGTCTTCAATAACCCAAACCTACCTTATAGAGGACCCAGGGAACCAAGGTAGCACATTACGTTTGGTGATGACAGGTACTGTCCATATTTGTCGATGGGCGGTAGAGACCCATTCCTGTGCAAAGCCTCTTCGAGTTGTCGCACCAGATTAATGAGCAACAGCAACTTGGTGTACTTCAAGTGGTCTATATATTCACTTGGCGGATGCTTTCGACTATGGCAGTGCGAACGACTGGGTGTAAAGCTGGGACATCATCCAAGATGTTTTCCAGGTTTGCGACTTGGTCGTGCAAGCGAGCTTCCAAACACTCTGTAAGGAGAAACGGTTGAAGCACTTGTTGGATAGACATGGCAGGACCAAAGCAACTTGGGTGACCAAAAGCGAATGAAGAGTGGTGAACATATGAAGTAGGTAATGACAAAATGCAGGGAGCTGCATGTATGTTTTTTAAAAAAATGGCCATGCAAAACTATGTCCACTTGGAACAAACATGCGTGAGAAAAGGAAACTCGTCCAGAAAACTGCGGACACTTGTCCAACTGGAGCCAGTAAAATGGGTTCGAGAAACGAAATAAGGGTGGGACGAAAAATTTGGAAACACGAATGTGCTGGGGCTCACTAGAGCCTTCAAATGTCCGTCAACCAAAACTATGATCATGATGTGCGCTGTACTTGTTCTAAATCCATGTTCTGTTGTCATGTGACATCATGTGACAACCATGCAGCCTCTGAGAAGAGATATTCCATCAACAAGTTGAGTTACATCTTATTTCTCTTGCTGTTGCGCTTGACGAGCATAAAATCAAATGACAGAACAACGCACACGCTCAGCTCTTCCTTTTTGATCTCGGGGCGATCCAACGAGTCTGATTGTCTGTGCCTGGCGTCCCTCCCCCACTTATAGGAGGCTCTATTGCGTCTTCTCATCCAAACACTTATGCCACATGGCTTCCATGTTCACAACAGTGGGTGTCATTCCAGGATAGCTCGCAAGTCTTTCCCTAGAAAGATCAGCAGGATTCGATTGGGATGGCACTCGCTCAATCCCGGAAACCAAGCCGAGCTCTTCTTCCAGGGAGCACGCTGAGCGAATGATCAAGTTCATATGATCATTATTGGATTTACACTTCACGAGGCAGGACTGAACACTTTGATTGTCTGTGAAGATAACAACACGCTTTCCTTTGAGCAGAGTTCCGAGCACCTGCTGGAGTGCAGTGGCTACTGCCAGACCTTCTAACTCAAAAATGATGGTCTCCTGGTCATCATGTTTGATGAGTTTGATCACAACTTCGCTGAAACTACCATGCATGACAATCAAAGGCCACTCCACCAACACCAGAGCAACCATTCGGTTCAAAGGAAGCGTCTACATACACATGAACCCAATCCATGAAGTTTGCATCAACTGGCCAAGGGGTGTTAGACCTTTAACAACTCAACAATGAGTCTGAAGGAGACTTCAAGTTCAGATGTCAAAGTCAACCCTCGGCTTACATGGGAGTTCAGATCACGCAGGCAATTGCGGAAACTCCTGCCGAAAAGTTGGTTAGAAGCAAATTGGAGTCTACCACGCAACCATTTCACCCTCATATCTGGGGAGAAAGCCCTTGATCTAAACACTCTCAATCAAACCGATCAGTTCGTGTCTTCTGCTCTCAGTGTTGCGGACTTCCAAGGCTCCAGCTGGACTCTTACTGAGATCAAGCTCGGCTCCAAGAACTTTGCAACACTCAGCATAGGAACCCATTTGTCCTCTGAAAGCTGCCATCCAAGAAGATGGAAGAAGGTGGAGATACACAAATCCGTATGTCTTGCTAGGCAATGGGGAGCTAGGCTCAAGAAACCGTCAAAGTACGAAGTCCATGTCAACTTCAACAAACTGCTTCCTATGTGCCAGATGCCTATGACACATCTGAGAAAAGCCATCACTGAAGCTATCGGCCCACATGGCAACACTGCCTGTTTGAAGACTTCCTGCTGTTGAGTCTCCGGGTTGTATATCACTATGTAGGAGTCTTTCTCGTACGCTTCCTCGGACAAAGGAACTTGCTTATATGCTGGTGCAATGTCCCAGCATTTTGCCACTAACCCAGAAGGTGTCGTTTCTGACCAAACAGCTTGAAGGAGAGCGGATCCAAGACAGGCTATGTGATCGACTCCATGTAGCGTCACCATTTCCACTGAGTCACTGCAGAGTTTACGAGACTGGCTTTGTAGTCGATTGGTACCATCCGGCACCACATCAGCACTGATGGGTCCCTTCACAAAACCTTGGTCCCTCTCTTTCATGGTGGCCTGCAAGACTCCACGATCGATCTCTTGGTCGCCTGAACTCTTCACACTTGCCAGCAAAACTTCTCGAGCACGATTGGCGACACTCCTGAGTGCTTCTGTAGGTAGCTGGCTGGCCGATCTCTGGTCAAAGTGATTCGACGCCAGCAATTTTCCAGTGAGGTCGAAATCATCGCAGGTATCGTCTGATAGGCAAACGTCTTGAGAACAAGCTTCCACCAACAGCTCTTTGAAGAGCAACATCTTCTTGTGCCGGAGGATTTCTCGCCGACCTTGTGACATGCATTCTCTTAAGGTTTCCTCGACAGCCTGCAATTGTTGAGCTCTGGAAAATAATTCGCCTCACCACTTCCGATCTGCGTTGTGCAACTTGCGACACTGAGTGGTTCAAGCAAAATTGCACGGCATCCAACATGGGCCCTGGCATTTGGTCCGTTGCTACTCCTGGGTGTTTGGCTGTAATGGCTGCTTCGACGAACTCTTGAGGAGTCCGGTGAACTCCTACTGTTTTCAGTCCTGCACTCGCGATATCCCCCATGGCTGGAGTGCCAATAAGGCGTGCATTTGAAGGCAAGGGATCTTCAGCAGGGATCTGCATGATGTGGTTGAACTCACTGACCAATGGCAAACCGGTGGCAGAAAGTATCTGGCACGTGCAAAAATTCACACTTGTGAAATCTGTTTTGGCACTTGCCATGAGTGGTCATCTTCACTCGTGAGCTATCGAAATCTTATAAGGCCTGGACGACCTGAAGCCCCAGGACTAGCAAGTGCCCCAAATAGAGTGTGGTCAACAGCTTGTCAGAAGTAATACCAACACATGTACTCTCATCCATGCACATGAGAAAAAATGCAAGGATGAGAAACTCTGACCATGATTTTGTCCATTGGTGATATGCCTGTAAGTACGGAACAACCCGATGGCTCTGCAGCACCTCAATCGCATCGAACACGTCGCCCAAAAAACTGGGTGATATGAATGGGGAATGTAATGCCATAGAATCAACGGTTACCAAACTGCACATGCAGCGTCACACATATATGATCTGGGCCACCTGCCACAAATGTCAAGTTAACCAGCAAAATCTACACACTTGTGTAGTTATCTGGGTTGCAGGTGGTACCCAAACCTTGACGACCCCACTGACATGTTTACATCACTGGGATTTCTCTCTGGCCTGGGGTCACGCGACCGGTCAACGGCCCACCCATCCGCTGAGCTTGAAATGGGTCAACATGATAACAGGCACACGGTCAGTTTTAGCTTCAACCTGTCCTTGCATGATGCAGCTCAACTCACTCTCGGCCATTCTGGTGCTTCACTTTACACAACAAGCTATATCCAATGAAGCATGTGATTTTTCTTGAAAAATTGGATTTCCTCTAGCAGGAATGCCAGAACCCCCCAACATGATGGATGCTTTTGGATCTCGGACAGCGGGTCAAAGATCTTGATTCCGTGTCGGATGTCACGTCTTCGTCTTCAGTCTCTGTCTCGTGGTCACTGAATGGCAACGCGATGTCCAGACGTGGGTCTTGTGGGGGACCCCATACTCATGCTACAGATTGTCGTGGTGAAACAACAAGTTGGGATCCTGTGGCAACTGCTGTTTCTAAGCGATCCAATCGTGCCTCCAGGCGCGAAATCACCACAGATTACATGGATACCAAATTCGAATACTGCTCCAAGGCTCTAAATACCGACACAAAATGTGCGTAGCAGCGGCACCGCACGGCTTGTTGTTGCTGTTGTTCCTCCGGCCTACGTTTGGGAGTCTGAAAAGCGGTCGCCATTTGTTGAAAAATGACAAAACTGCTGATCTGGATGTAGAGGCGTCTTGGCAATGTAATACTTTGCGCCTGGGTACGTAAATCAAGTACTTCACCACCATCAAGGGCCCGAACCAAGCCAGGAGCACGCGCATCCAACTGAAATTGTTGGGTGAGGGTATATCGATGATCGAGTGATTGACTGGCAAATTCAACATGGCTCCTTGGTGAGTACTGGGAGGCGGTCCCCAGGGCGAGTCATGGGACTTCTGGTCAGAGGCATATGGTGGACCTGGTGCCTGGTTCATTTCCAAAATGGCAAGCACCGTCAAGACACCGACAATGAATCCAAAAAGGCAAGATTTGCAGAAAGACGAAGTAGATCTACGTTGATCTTCCAAGATGATTTGCCCACATCGTTGCATGCACTGCAAAACCAGAACACGAATGTGTTGGGGCTCACCTGAGCCTTCAAATTTCCGTCAGCGAGAACTATGATCATGATGTGTGCTATACTTGATCTAAATCCATGTTCTGTTGTCATGTGACATCACATGACAACCATGCAACCTCTAAAAATAATATTTCATCAACACATTGAATTACATCATATTATATATTAACTGCTTATCAAATATAATATTGTACAGTATACATATATATATATATATATTGCCATTTTTTAAAACATATGAAACATTTCCTGTTGAAATCGTGCGCGCGCAGGCGCGCGAGCATTTAACACATGCGCGCGCGAGGTGCGCAAGCACAGACAGGCGCGCGCGCGAGACGCGCGAGCAAATAGAGGCGCACGCGCGCGCGAGGTGCGCGAGCAAGCCAACATGCGCGCGCGTGTTCGCGCGCGCACCCGTCCGACATGCGCGCGCGCGCAAATAAGCTCTCCAAAAGTGGATTTGGTGAGCTTATTTGCGATTTGGAGAGCTTATTTGCGATTTGGAGAGCTTATTTGCGCGCGCGGAGAGCTTATTTGCGCGCGCGCGCGTGTCGGACGGGCGCGCGCGCGAACACGCGCGCGTGTCTTGGCCTTGCTCGCGCACCTCGCGCGCGCGCGCCTCTATTTGCTCGCGCGTCTCGCGCGCGCGCCTGTCGTTGCTCGCGCGCCTCGCGCGCGCACATGTGAAATGCTCGCGCGCTCGCGCTGCGCACCCCGCAGCTGGTGAGGCACCATATATGAATTGATATGTTTTGAATCAAGCCTATATATATACTACATATAGTATTGCGTATTTATATTTATGTATATATACATTTATAACAATGTGTATATATATATATTATAGATACATTGGAATGCCATCATGGGATTCCTGAAAAACAAAATGGTTAGAGCTAAATCCCCATGAAGGTGGGCAGATACCCATCCCCAAACTTATGGGAAATTTACCCAGGTTTTGACGGAATACAGCGCGCACGAAGTCGCAGCACCCACGCCCCTTCCCGGTTAAGGGGGGTACGAGGTGCAAGGAGGCGGGTAAACCGAGAATGGAAAGCACACAGCTAACTACAATGTACTGGCACTATGCCAGGGAAATGTCACACTAAGAATAGCAGTTGACAAACCACGTCGCGCGGTCGTCCCTTGCCGAGTGAAAAGCAAATGGCATACAGAAACAGCAATGTTGTCAGAGCTGCTTCGAAAATGACAGATCTTAGAAGGCTGTACAGCGACAAGCTCAAGCACAAAGGCAAGCAAGAGAGTTTTAACAAGTACAAGCAAGCATCAACTGCAAGCAAATCAAGACAAGGAAAAACATGTCACAAAGTGCAGGCACCTAACTGTTGGTAAACTCGGGGTGTTCCGCCCGCCGGCTTTTTTACTTTTTGTATTGTGCGGTCACGACTTCCTACTCCTACTCACTGACAAGCTCGGGTGGCAAGCTATCAACATCATCGAAGTCAGACCACTGACAAGCCAGAACCTACAAGTGATGCACAAGAGTGCGCTGGCAGGCTGGAACACACTTATGGCTCAAGTCCGGGGCAAAGGCTGAAGTCACCGGCAAATCAGGGCATTGCAGAAAGCGAGTGACATGAGCCCATACATAACATCCTCCGCAAAGCAAACCAACGACACACACCATGCCATAAGGGTTTGGGTCCTGCATTCAAGTGTTGGCATCACACCTCCACCATCTGTCATGATTTCAAGATGCTTGGCCAGGCCAAAGGCATGCGAGCAAACAACGGACGTCAATCTACTCCACGGTTCAAGTGTCATCTTGAAGAGGTAACCGTCTGTGATGGCATGTGGACGCGACCGGACTTCAGTCCCATGCCACGGAACTGACTGATATTTCACCGAAAGCTGAGAAGTATCCACAAGACAGGACAACAGAACCTCTGAATATCCAATAGCAACCACCCGAAGGCCAATCAAAGTCAAAACACAAGTCACTCGATAGTGGCAGGGGCACACCGCAAGCAATGGGGTCACATACTCGAGGATCAGCAGAGGAGGAACGTGGGAAAACTGCATGGCTCAGTTAGAAAGGGGCCACCTCCCCACCTCGCTACGTGGAAGCCTGAGCCCAGAGGCTACCCAGGTTTTGACCATGGCACAGGTGATATGTTTACCCGAAATGTCGGCTCGTTTGGACGGGATTGTCCGCCCGCCGTACACTAACCATAACCAGTGATCCAAATGGTGACTGACTTCCTACTGTGGATGGTTGCGAAATCCTGCGCCATTGTAGATGGTCTATCCCGAGTTATAACTCCACTATTTACAGGGTTTCATAATTACCAATAACTACCAACTGGTGCAGGATTTCTTCCATCCTCAGTATTCAAGGGAGCTCAGATGGTGTGAACAGCATGGCTCTAGTATCATAGAAGATAATCCTCCAATCAAATATGGTACGATGGAAAATCCCCGAGTCAATTGATGGTCTGGGAAATCACGGCGAATCGTCGACTCAGGGAGGAAAAAACACGTCCATCAGGCCTCTGTGCTCTCCCAAAGCTGTGAATCTGCCCATTTCCCAGTTCCAGCAACAATGTCAAGTGGTCCTTCATGGCAACCTTCATGTTCGGATGCCTCACAGGGTGAGATTCACCAGCACCAGTGAAAAGCATAAATCGTGTGGTTCCCACAGTTAACAAAAACCCTTGTATCGGATCTATGAATGACTTAGGTTCCAACAAAATAGCATGTGTTTCTGTCTGTTTCTGTTTCCTATTGCATTGACTGTCGAAAATATTTCGGGATGTTTAAACCATCTTAACCCCCCCATTTTTTAATACATTATGATTCTGATCCCCCATTGTTTATCACCAGGTGGCTTCATCCCTAGACCTGGAGGAGACCAGTTCCAGTTCGAAGCGCTTCAGAGCCACACTCAGGACCTGCCATCCAAAATCAAGGGGATTTACCAAAGATGGGGATTCAGAAGCAAAAAAACATGTAACATCTGTAACATCTATGAAAAATTTACCAATTTACCCCTTATCTATGATTGTCGCACGGATGAAAACCCTATGAGAAATGGTGATAGACCCATGAAAACAGCGATTTAGCAACAAGGTTTCAATTGATCTTGCAAAGGCAACGAAAATATGCAAAACGTGAAATCGAACCAGAGAAAAACGGCAGAGATGGGAATGATTTCACCATCCAATGCTTCGGATGTTCGGGGCATATCATCTGCCGCCACCTGGATGCTGAAGTTTCCACCGTCTGCGGAGCTATCCACCTGGAAAAATGTGGCCATCGGTCATCGGCCGTTCGGCTCTTGGGTTCAGCCCGCTGCGGTCCTGTGGTTAAAGTGTCAGCAAATCCACCAGAAAAGAAATGGTTTACTGAGTTTTTTTTAGATTCTCACGATCCCCCCACTATGCAAAGTACTACCCCGAGAATCAACCGATGTTTTTGACACTCAAAGGGGGATCCCGAAGCGACTCAATCTCAGCCCCCAAGCATTGTACTCTTCGGCTCCAGTCCCAACCTCACCTTAGAATTCCAGCGTCTTTGGCGGGGCTGTTCAATATTTGTCGGAAGGGATTGGAACATGCTCCCCTTAAAATCATGATCAATTGGCCATGGATAGACTCGATTTTCCTTAACTGACAGATTTTGTAGATTAGATTCCTCTGAAAAGGTTCTGAAAATAGGACTTGTTCATTGACCATTTCCATTTTACCTAGGGGTTCCAACTGCAAAAACATGACAAATCTAAATTTCCAGCCCTGAATTCAGATCATAACAAATGAAAATCACAGAAAGGTGCCAAGGTGGCATGACAAAATGTTGAATTATAAACCGACTGCTTTGGAGAGTGCCGTTTTTCGGAAAATACAATGCCAACCCTTGAATGAGAAAAAAAACTTACTCATTCAGAGATGAGAGAACGAAACCCTCCCCATGAAATAACCAAACATAAAACACATAGACCACGGCGGTCTTGACCTGCGTTTTCAACCATTTTCCAGCTCCCACGGCTCCCCTCTCCGACCGGGGCATCCGGGGCATCGAACCAGTCGCTTGTCTTACCAAGGCTCTCTCCTGCCAGAGTTGCCAAGAATGCCAGGGAATCTTCCTGCCTTCCCATCCCAATCATCTCAGTGCGCTGCATTTTGCAACATGTTTTCACTATCTTTCCATCACAAGAGTCCTCCAAAAATGATATACAATCCCATTTTCCCAAAATTCCATCTCAAAATGGCCATGGATTACAAAACCCCATACAAAAATTAATTGGTTTTGAGCCTGTGCCAATCACCATGCTACATTGTATACTGTATGCTCAAATCATGATGAAATCTATTCTTTGGACTTTGGACACTTAAAATCCAGATGTTGAATGTTTGAATGATCCAAGATTCCAATTTGTCGTGCTTGAAAACCCACATCTTGATCATAGAATCATTCAAAAAACAAAAAAACAAACAAAAACGAATCTACATCAAACAGACTAATCAGAATCTCCAAAAATTCTGTGCTCAAAATGTTCAAAACAACACGGACTCGGCACCAACTCGACACCAACTCGGCACCTGTTGGTCCAAGTGGACACCGATCTCCGCCAGGTCGCCGGGACCAAAATGTGGACCCTGGGTGATCCAAAATAGGCAGGTTTATCATCAAAGATTAGTCAGATAAGTAAAAAAAACATCAAAACTAGGAATTTAACTATCAAAAATCAGGGTTTGACAAAATCAAAAAGAACATGTAAAACCATCAAAGATTGTTGTTTAACCATTATATAAAACTATGTACGCGTTTAACATGGTTTAACCATCAAGAATAATTAGGGTGTTTAACCACTAAAAATATGAGTTCAACCGGCAAACAGGGGGAATATTTGGATCAATGTATTAGTGAAAAAATGATAACACATAGGACATCATGGTTTTTGAAGTCCAAATCTAGAGTTCTCTTGTAATTACTGTCCATCATTTTCCGACTACTGAAACCATAACCCATTGACGAATACCTGGTTCAACCCCCAGTTGACTGTGTTCGCATCCCCAAAGTCATCATGGCAGCAGCTGATAACCTCCCACAAGAAACCACTCAGAGCACAATTTTCTGGAACCCGAATGAACCACTAAAGTGGCCACATGATTAGCAATGATAGTACAATATTTGTATATATGTGCCATGGTTTATGGGAATCCTGGATTTCCACCATGGTGGCATGACCATGCCCCAATGATTTCTCTCACCATGGCCTAGCCTGCAAGAGGTTGTTGAGACAATGCACACCTGGGACCAGCAACGGTAACAACACGTGGGATCTGGTGTTTTGTATGACCAGGAAATTACCCGCCAAATTTGTAGACCCAGCGCACCGCAAAGGCCCCCAAGTTGTCGTTCATGATAAATATACCTCACGGCACCGCAGTCAATGTTGCACACTTAGATGGGGGTTTCTTAAAATGGGGGACACCAAATGTCATTCCAAATGATTTGTCGCTATGTGAACAAGAAAACCAATGGTTCGGGATACCGTCATTGTAAAAGTTTCCTGACTTATGCAAACATGTGGCGACCCCACCGGTCCAATGCAAATCAGGCACATCTGAAAAGGGCCCTGATTTGACCGCCATGTCACAAGCACACGCGCCAGCGGTGTTTCGCATTGGTTTCCCCAACGCAAGGTCAAACGTCGTTTCAATGTTCAAGTTGTGACAATTATACAACAAACGCAATGAATTGTTGCAACTGTTTTTTTCCACGAGTTCATCACGGTGAAATACACATTTCTTGGAACGTGTTCAATTTTAATCGAAAATTGCAATACTCAGCTACCATATTGGAACACCTGCACACACCCGTTTGTGGCCACGACTGCATTGAGGTGGGGAAATGCCACGAAAGCATACATTTCACAAATGGGTCGTTTGCATGAACATTGTCGTTGGTTCACGTATTGTTTCAAAACATTGGAAAAAGTGAACGGCAACAACAGCAAAACAAAAAAACAACCGAATGTTGTACACCATCGATGACAACCAGTGCACAACCCAAAACTGAAAAAAATCAACAAAGTTAGTTTCAGAATCGCGCGCGTTCCATGTGCGTAAATCCGCATTTTTCCCCAACTGCGTAAGTTTTCGGTCTTCAACCATAGTAAAGGTCTCGAAACAGGTCGGAGCAGCCAAACCCCGCATTACCAAAATTCCCAAGCAAGGTTCCCAGGAACAGGTTCCCAAGCAAGGTTCCCAAAAACAGGTTCCTAAGCAAGGTTCCCAAGAACAGGTTTCCAAGCAAATTTCTCAGGAAACTCACACAAACGAAGCGAACAATGCGAAGCAAAGTGACTTTTTGGATCTTAAATTTTAAAACTGGTTCCTACTGTTTTCCACTGTTTGCGCCCTGTTTATTGAGCTTGGCCCTGGATGGAAATAAAAACACCGAACCATAAAATCGTCACCAATTTAGGTAAGAAAGATTCCCAAATTCACATTTTTTCATCCTCACATCTTCTCCTCATCTTCTCATCTTCTCCTCATCTTCTCATCTTCTCCTTCTCTTCTCATCTTCTCATCTTCTCCTCATCTTCTCATCTTCACATCTTCTCATCTTCACATCTTCTCATCTTCACATCTTCTCACATCTTCTCACATCTTCTCACATCTTCTCACATCTTCTCACATCTTCTCACATCTTCTCATCTTCACATTTTCTCCTCTTGCCCTCTCCTCTTTTCTATTTCTTTTTTCAAGGCGGCAGCAGGGGCCGTGCCAACGAGACGGCACGAAACACAACCTTTTCGCACGAAATGAGGTTCGATCGACAAAAAAAACTGAGGTACAATTGCGATTTCAGGTCCGGCGCAACCCTTTCGCACGAAATGAAGTTCGATCGCTAAAAACTGAGCTAAAAAGTGCGATTTGCAAGTCGTCGGGGAAACCTTTCGCACGAAATGAGGTTCGATCGCAAAAAACTGAGGTAAAAAGTGCGAGTTCAAGTCACCCGCGCAATCCTTTTGCACGAAATGAGGTTCAATCGCCAAAAACTGAGCTAAATTTCAAACAAATAATAATTTTGCAGGTGCAACGGCGCCCCTTTTCCTTGAACCAGAGAGTATGGAAAAGTTCTCAGTGACCAAAGGGCATCTCCAGTCATTTTTGTTCTTTGCTCTTTAGGAACAGGTCAAGGAATGCCATGTGTTTCAGGTCAAGGACAGAACTTGAGTCAAGGTCTAGATCAATTTTTTGTGGTCGGCGCCCGTTGTCTTTCGGCGGGTCGCACGTGAGACTTCCGAGTGGACCAGCAGGAATTCGAACCACCACCGGCAGTCTGTCAGCGCTGGCAAGGACCAACGCCAAACCAACTGAGCCATCGGGTCGCCTGAGTCAAGGTCTAGATCAGGTAGAACTGGAACGACAAGGACTGAGAGGATGTCAAGGACCGAATATTGGCGGTGTAACACTACGAATGAACGAATGCAGGAAATCCTAAGGATGACACAAGGTTTGGACTCTATGCAGGTGCTGAGGTTGAGACAGTGAACTTGCAAGAGTACCGAAGAGCTTGCCACAGCGTGCAAGGTTGCAAAGGGTATGTTCTGAGGCATATCATTGTACAGGTGATGGACGCATCTCGCAACCACATCTCTTAATTTTAAGCCAGGAAACTCAACAAAGCCCAAAAGCTGGCTGTCCGAGAGCAGCCTACAAATGACCTGCTGCTTTCCCATCCATTTCCGATTGCAAAAAGAAACAAGTGGAAACTTCCCCAAACATCCTACGATCAGGGGGCTCAAAACCAATGACTGGATTCCACTGTTCTCCCGTCGCTGACCACTGCTTGCATACTTCTGTTGGGATTCTTGACCAGTCCAGGTCCCTTCAGTTGAGTCAGCTGTCCAATTTTTTTCCGTCCAACGCCTTCATGGCTTCCGCCAG